ATCGACCATATGTTGCTATTGCGCATGCGCAAATACTCAAACTAATTGCACAATCAATAGGGACCGAACATATATGTACGTGAGCCAAGTCATAAACTGGTCCCAGACCTTCACTGCTCCGATCGTAGCACTGTGTCACTGGTCTGTCACCAGTCAGACATAAAAGCCATGTGCTTTTCACCTCTGTAAAGTTGTTGATCACACTGCAGGACGATTAAGGTTTCCTTAAAAAAAAATGGTAGTACCAGTAAGTAAGCAGAAAAACAAAGAAGGAATATCACAAGTGTTTCTGACGAAAGTTTTGTTCATGATAGCATAAAAGTCCAACCATCCAAATGGACAACGTGGAACGCACAGTGTGATATCATCCAAAATTAACCCTGTGTTACCGGTATGTTATGCAACTGCGGACATGGTTTTTTAACCCTAACCCTGCACGATACCACAAATTACTAGTTGTAGTAAAATGTAGTATTCAGCGCTGTTGCTTGTAAGAAGACATAACCTTATTGTTCTCTGAAGCCATAAGAATAGATAAAACAATGTACCATACAGTGCTGTGGCACTATGCATGGCTTTATTGTTCTCTGTACATGTACAAGTAACAATGGAAGTAACCCAGCGGGAAGTAGTAATTTGTAGTGGTAGGTCCTTCAGGCTCAGACTACTACTTAGTTTTTTGAAATACTGAGTAGTGTAAGCCAAACAATATGCTTGGTAGTTAGGGTTGATGGATAAATAAACAATGGAAATCACTGTGACTATCTATTGATAGTCGCCACCGAATTTCACTAGTCGCCCACATCTACCAGTATTACTTTCAGTGGGTGCATGGTCTGTGTTACTGTCATCCGTTTTACCCCATATAATTTTCCTCAAGTATCAAAACCTTTCCCTCCTTCTACAAAATTAACCCAGCAATTTGGCAAAATAATGTCCTTGTAATCTACATGTAGTTAGGCGAGTCTGAAAGCTTAAATCTAATTCTTCCTTCTACATGTACAAAAATGTTCACGTTCACTACGAGCAGGAACAAAGGGGGACATTTTCAATAAAAATGACAACCCTTCAGGACAAACCCATCGGTTAAGCACACAAATTTGTGCATATTTTGTGCAGTGTTACACTGAGCACGTGCAACAAATTACTTCATGCTGGAATGTCTGGTCTTCACACGTGCAGCAACCTGTTTGGAAACTTCTCACCAGCCTGTCTTTCTTTTGCTGGCGAAGGTGCACTTCAACCAGGGTGAGACTGGACCCCAACAATTTTGTTGGTATTACAGTTCATGCACGAGTATGTAAAACATGTTTTTTTGGCAATTGTGAACGTTCCTATTGTCCTCTTTTGTTCACACTTTAACTTTTTTGGAAGGCCTCCAATATGTTTTGTACACGTTTGGCAATCATGGACATATCAGGAATTATGGACGGTCATTAATTCTTTTGTTTAATGTCCACGATTGTTTGGGAACATCAGTGCACGTATACATGTACATAAATGGCATGCACGTACTGTATTACACATTGTTTATGAACACTTACAATATACTACGATGTACATGTATGTCCTTTTGAGCCTCAAACATCAATGATACATGTAGTTCAACAACTTCACACTACAAGCATTTCGAAGTGTCCAAACCTGTTAATTTTTACGAGGAAATCTCTATAATGTTAATATATCATCTTCCCTTTCCATGTCCGTCACCTCACAATGTTTACAATCCATCTACATCGCTAACCGTGAAAACCTCCATGCAGTTTTTGGCACCTTATCAATAGGTTCAGTACAATGTAGGTCCCCATCTCGGTAAATTATGCCATTATGCCACATTATTGAGAGTCTCGTAGGTGTACATGTACTGTACATGTATATCCTGAGCAACATCTCAACAGCAAAATCAACCAGTATTTCTGTATTTAAAGCCATGCACAATCCACCACAAGTACATGTCCGTACGCAACTCAAAATGGCATCTATGTGTTGCTGCAATAAGACATGCACAACACATGGCATGTGTTGCTGGTTTGTTTCATACTCAGGTTCTGGACCTGCAGCACACATTTCTGTATAGACCTTTTTCACCCATATGACTGGATTGCACTAAATGTGAACAATTCCACCACATGTGGACTGCCTTGACCAATGGGCAGCTTCAACCACGTACAAGCGCACAGTATGCTGCGTGCTTGACTAGTTTATCTTGAATAAAAAGATTACCATCACAACACTATGTGCTCATTACCATCAAAACTTATCACAGTCCTGCACGATTGTGATATCACAGGAAAAAGGTCTATAAATGTGGGAATACAGTGTACATGTATGCCATTATTTTCACTACCACTACTCCAACATACCCATTGTGCATGTACATGTACACCACAGTACATGTACTTCAGGAGAAACAACGGTTTGTGTACTTCTGGAACGCCTGTACAAGACTTTACCAAGTTGTGGATGATTACTATTTCTCCAAAAATTCCACCAAAAAAATCTACATGTATAACACTGGGTTTTTTAAAAATCTGGAAGAATCTCACCCCTGTTCAGGGGATAGGGAAGGAGCCCCGGAATTGACAATCCCTCTGAAACCTTTATGCTGAATTTTCTAAGATTTTTTCAAGTGCACTACATGTACGTTGGGCATGTTAGGGAACATTAAGTTGAATTCATGCACAGTTTTAGGACGCTGTCGGTTTTGAATTTCTGACAAAAGATCATGACAAATTGTTCACAAAGGTTCAACAATATAAAGGTTATCGTAGCAGTATTTATCCCAATGAATTTGAAACCTTTCATAAAGAGGTTTGGCAACACTGTGAAGAAAATCAAGTGAAAGTCGACGTGTGCTACATTAGGGGACTTTACATTGATGCATCATGTACCCTAACATGGCACGACCGCTAAAATGGTGTACTTTCATTTTTCGCTTCTTGTGTCTTTTAACCGTCTTAACCCTAACCCTTACTTCCAGCCATACAATAGCTATACAAACTCCCAATTTGGCTGTTTTGATTGTGCCAACTTACATGTACATGTACTCTGCCATTAGAGCTGTTTGTACAATATTTCATACATGCTTTCTTGGTGTAGTAAGATGTCTGACGGGGAGGTTTATTCACATTATATCCTCATTAAAATGGTGAAATGAGTATTTTGCTCATCCACACTACAGAAAATCAGCATACATACTCTAAATAACTGTCAGCTTTGTACAGTTTGACCCATCGCAAAACAGCTCCTCTCTTTTCTTTTTTGTGGACGGGCAAAATGCTCAAGAATTTCACCATTTTAATGAGAAAATAAAGTGAATGTAAATCCTCCGTATCATGAGACATCTTACTTCACCAAGAAGGCATGAACCTGCACAAATAGCTGTGATGGCAGAGTACCTGTAAGTTGGCACCACTAGAACTGCCAAAATGGGAGTTTGTACTTGGCTATGGTACCCATATTGGTACATGTATCTCCTAGCCTAGGTTTGTATTAAACCTGACAGTTTAGGAAGCACATGATGTACATGTACCTAACCTCTAGTAAAATCATACAGAAATCAGACATTTCAGAGGATTGAGGACTCTTAACGTTAACGGAACAATATCTTAAAGAAACCAGGAAATAGAAATATTTTTATAAATCGTACTAAAAACCCTTGAAATTGCATCTTGGGGTTTCAAGTAACCTTACTTTGAATTTTTGTTTTGCAATTTTAACCCATAGTTTGATGTTTTTTGTTTTATGCTTATGCAAATTTACATATTCACGAGCAAAACTATGATGTCATCCAAGGCACTCAATGTTGCACTGATTTGTGCACAGACAATTTCTAGATTTTTTTAACCACTGCTATGGCAGATTTTATTTTCTTTGGCAATTTATTGCTGTTTAAGTATACGGCAATCAAAAAATCCTTTTCACAGAAATGTTCCCAGATACATGTAGCAAATTTGGGATTTACATCAAAGCAAAAGTGCCCTCACTTGTACAGAGATGCTTGGTCAATTTCTAATGTTTGAAAAAAAGCACCGTTCAGTTCACGTAACTCAAAGATGTCTAACAGTCTTCACAGATAGAAGAAGAGTACAGATAAACAAAAAGTGATTCTAAGAAAAATCCATTTCCTGGTTACACAGCTCAACTTTCACAATTACTAAAATGTCACATTTCAAAAATTTTTATTCATAAATGTCAGCTTATGTACCTGCAATAAAGTTTGGAAGAAACTTTATTTTCAACTGATTTTCTGATTTCTCTTCCAACGTGCAAAATGAACTCTTTTTAACATGTGCTCAAAATCAGGAAGAGTTTTCTGACAAACTTATGGATGGGTATTTGAGCAGCAGGAATGATGCTTTGGAAGAATTTATCAACTTCAAATGATTTGCAAATGTTTATAGTCCTATGTGATCACACTCACTCACATGACTCAGCTGAATTCGAGCCCCATTTCTGGATTCTGACAGTGGGCCCTACATGTACTTTTAAATTTCGAATGAAATTTCATGACAAAAGTTCAACTCGACATACATGTAGGCTTATAAAGGTAATCTATAGCCTAGCCTAGAGTTACAAATTAATAACCAAATGAGCTTTAACAAAAGTTTATCCAGAAAGAGGTTTGGCGATGCTGTGTGAATGTGACGAAAGCCAAGTGAGCGTCAAATTAAAAACGTTCGCCTCGTTAGGGCACTTGGTCTATCATATAGCCTTGTAGGTCTAGGCACCTACATGTAGGTTATCATATGTCGGTCATGTTGGTCGTCCCTAGTACTACTAGGCCTACTAGTGGTACTAAATAAGTACTCAAGACCATTTCTACTCTACCGTATGCACTAGCTAACTAGTGTATACTACAAAAGTAGGCCTACTACTTGCTTAGCATGACCAGGCTAACTTACGCCCCTGTCTGGGCCTGGTGACGTACATGTATAGGCCTAGTTACATGTCTGACATGTACATGTACAGTATGTAGACATACATGTAGGCCCACTTACTTTTTATTCCTGCCATTTTGCGTTTGTTCAACGTTAGTCCACTTCCCGGATCAAAATACGCGTATACTTCTTCAATCTCCACACATCTGCACATGTATACAAACAATTTGATTTCAATGTCGTGAAATTGGCACGAAATTCGGGCTAGGTTTTCGACCGGCCTTATTTGGACTGAACGCTATTTTTACGGCTGCAAATGTGCACGTAATCGTTCACGTAATTTAACTGGCCCGCAGAAATTCCACGGAGGCCGATCACAGACAGCAGCAACAAGCCCATAAACACCAACAAACAAAATACATACATGTACCTTCGTTGAAATGTATCTTAGGCCGTGTCCGAAACAGGCTTCCAGAGCTACGGCTACGTCTGTTGTCTACGCGTCTCCCCTCCACGCATTCCCAATAGAGGGATCCCAATACAACGCTTTTGCGTCGACGTGCGAACTTCCGCGTTTGAAAACGAGGCTGTATGTGTCAGCTTCAATTCTTAAATACGATCAGACGATTGAAAGTAAGGAGTCAAGACACAAAATACATAAAGGTATGTTAACTTCAGACTTTTCAGGCTGCAAATTTTTGTGGAAGAGTCTTTCAGGATGAACTCGACACGTAAAATCAAAAGAAAAAAATGATGGCAATTTACCGCGAACTAACGTACCTGCGATGGTCTTGTGCAGTGGGCGTGGTTTAAACTGAAGTGGCGTACCGTCACACTTATGAACAGGATACTTTTTGTACTGTGTGGACTCCGCGGGCTCGCGCGAAGAAGTTCATCACAGAGAGCCTCGGTTTCGATAAAGATATGCGCAGATGGCGCTAATGTGAAATCCCTCGATGGAGCGAAAACCAGACCTAGCTCTAGACAACAGATTCGGGTGCTGTCTTAACTATGAAAGAACGTAGGCCTATTGAGAATCGGGTTCTTTTATTTCACCAGGGTCAGGGTTTTGTTCCTAATCGGGTGAGTCAACTCCTGAAATCAATCGGGGACAGCCTGTGGGACGAATCATTCGGGGCGCTAATTAGGTGTGCCCATAGGATCCCCCTTACACATTCCTTAAAAGAAAAACGCACTTTTTCTAAAATCTAAGATGGTACCAAATCGTTTGAAAACGGACATCAGCCAAGAAACCTATTTTCCCGTTTTGTTCCTAATCGGGTGCTTCGACTCCTCAAAATCAATTGGGCCGAGACAACCTGTGGGCGGAATCATTCGGGGCGCTAATTAAGTGTGCCTGGGGTCCCCCTACACATTCCATTTTGTTGGGTAATGTAAGATCTCTCATAAATAAAATGGACGAACTTAATGCGTGTACGCGGTACCTACATGAATATCGTGAAGCATGTTTGATGTGTTTCTCTGAAACTTGGCTTCATGAAAACATTCCCGACAGTATGGGATTCCATATCTGCCGTCGCCCGTCGTCCGTCGCATTTTGCTTCTTGTTGTGTCCCAATTCTGACATTTTCCAGTTCCAAACATGCCATTTTCCGTGCGTCGCGCGTCGCCCGTCGCGCGTCGCCCGTCGCGCGTCGCCCGTCAACCGTGTTTTTTTTGTCACGATTGCGCAG